ATAATATCATTATACGACCACTGCGAAGTCGCGGTATGCAGCTAGTTTATTATAATCAAAATACAAACTTGTACTACGCTTGTAGTTATGTGCAATGTAAACGGTGCTGTTTTTTATATGAAATGGAGGGGTTTGGGGGGGGGGGTTGTTAATCATGCGAACTAATCTAGCAATATGCACTGTTAGGTCGACCTCCACGTGGTCCAACCCGGAAACCATCGTGCTGAGTTCTAGTAATTATCACGATGGCTCACAAACCTGCTTCATTCTCACCTATTATCTCTCACTGGGGTCTCGCCAGCATATAGGTACTGTTAGCGCAAGTGGAGTTACCATTCCATTATCATCCTTAAAAAAAGCAGTCATTCCGTATCGTATATTTGAATAGAAAATTAATGAAAATAAATGTACCTTATAATTGTTTCTAGTAGATTGTAAATACGAAAATTAAAATAGAAAGAGAGATGCCAAATACATTTTGTCTGTACTAAATTCACGCACAAAAAGTTGTTTTGACAAACAAATAAAAAAATTGAACATGCGTCAAATTGTGTGTCTCATAGTCTAACATATTTATTTTTAAAATTTTAAGACTTATTATGAGTTTTAAACTTTTTATCTCAATTCATGCTGGCAAAGACATAGACTATAGAGATAGACTAGCTCTATCTAAATGGCTGAACAAATTAGAATGAAATTGAACATACAGATGAATCACATCAGATTAGAAAATATATTGGATATATTGCTTATATATTGATCCATTTGTCCATCAAACACTTGGAGTTTAAAAATCGAAAGAACAAAGATACCGTAGATTAAAGATAGTACTATGCTTAATCTATGCCGTCGAAAGAAAGAAATGTGTCTTGACAGGTTTTGTTTAGAGCATAGATTGGTTATTATACTTTAATGAATAATATTACGATAAAAGTTGAATAAAGAAGTCATTGATTAAAATTTTTACTGTCAGTATATTTGTTTAAGTCATTCACTAGCAATCAATAATATTACATTAACATTTATTGCATATACATTACATCAAAAGATTGATAATTAAAATATTGCTATATTTTATGGTATACTCTTGCGTTATTTTAAGTTTATTCGCTGCTTTCGTGTATTTGATGACAATAGTCGACCCAGGACTTGTAAAATCGCCTCAAAAAGCTGGACTGATTTTGAGAAATGGGTATGAAGATGAAGATAATGGGTTGTCAGTAAGTTTATATTTTTAGCCTGCATTTTGGTAATACAAAAATATAATACTGTTAACTACTATCATACATATACATATCAATAATGTGCAAAATTCACAGTCCTTAACATAAACTTTCATAGACTAAAATGAGGAATAGTTCTCTTTAAGAAATTAAAATGAACAGTTTACATTAAATAAAATATTAGTACGTATGGTTGCACACTTAGGTTATGGAATTAGCTCCTTGCCGAGGTTTTCCCAAGAAACTACATCATGGGGTACTTCAAAAGGGGAATAACGAGATTTCTTCAGGGTCGGTAACGCGCACGTAATACCCCTGGTATTGCGTGCGCGTTACCGACGTTATCCCAGGCGTTCATAGGCTACGATAACCGCTTACCATCAAGTGGGCCGTATGCTTGATTGCCACCTCAATGGTATAAAAAAAAAGTATATTTGTAGTAAAAATAATTTATTTTAACAGAATATTAACAAGATATTATCACTAATCGCCTAATCCTAAAGCTAGGATGCCTTTACTTATGAGGGATTAAGTAAAAAACATGTCAGCGCACAATCCTGAATAATCAGAGCCGAGCCAATTCAGAAAAAATCCGTTTCCTAAATTGACCTCGAATGGAACATTATTTACGTAAAGCAACGTACCCAGAGAGATATATTGAGGGCATTTTACCCAAGGTTACCACTCGGAAGCCTTTTTTCCCAATCGATTGTTTGTTTTTCGAATAGCCGTAACTTCAGGGCATCTTTGGGATTGAGGGCCAATCGAGTAATTATTCAGAAAGACGAGAGGGGCATTTGCTATTTATTTAAGTCTATTATTCGCAATATATGTATATGTTATTTTTGTTCTTTTGTATTCTATTACGCAATGAAACTAGCGAGCGAAATGAGTACAGCCCTCTTTATAGTTGGCTGAGCAACTTAGCAACTTGGCACTTCTAATCTGTTTACTTTAACGATGCCCATAGGCGTATTTAGGTGGGCCGTGCCCACCCCAGAATGGGGTCACAGTCTTAATGGGGGTGATAATGGAATGGTTTTTTATGGTGAAAATGGAATGGAAACGTGGTTGCGCTAACAGAATTCGATGGCGGGACACCAGTGACCAGTGATAGATGAGAATGATAATAGGCCAATTAGCTCATCATGATGAATTTAATCGTGACAGTTACCAAAGAGGACCGCGTGGAGGTTGATATATTGCTAGCAATGGAATTCTTAATCTCCATTGCTAAAAGTCCCTTTTCCTCCCATATATAATGGAATGGTAACCCTGTTTGCGCTGCGCTAGTGAGGAAACATAGGTGAGAATAAAAAGGTAGGTCAGTTGGCTCAACGTGATAAAAGCAGTTCAATTAAAATTAAGCACTATGGTTTCTAGTAGGGACTATGACGAGATCGACCTGACAGGGTATATTGCTAGCAATGGATTTGCTAGTCCCCATTACCAACAATCCCTTTCGCAAAAACTTCTGCATGGATTTCAATGAAAGGTACACGAGTTCAAGGTATTAATAATTTTGCCAGACTATGGAAGATTTTGTACAAAAGTCGTTTGCTTGGGCACCTTTGTTCCATTCGTGTTCATACCGTGAAGCCGTTTGGTGTTACCGTGAAGCATGGCTGTATTTCGGTATGAGGGGTGGGATATGGCAGGAAATTAACAGAGTACAGAGGAATAACACCTTAGCCCTCAGGAATGGCAACGCATGGAGGGTATCATGGGTAAAACAGTATACTCTGTTACGTCCATGGTACTGCTAATGTCTATAGGTGACGGTTACCACTTTCCATCAGGTGGGCCGTCAGCTTGTTTGCCATTCTAAGTTGAATAAAAAAAAGATATCCTAACTTAGCACAGGACACTTTATGTACTGATATAGCTAGTGTAAAATATAAATATTTTTCCAGGCGCCCGATGCGTACATTGATTTCCAAGAACTACTTGTTATTGGTAATGAGAACGCAAGTCTTTAGTATGTACGTGTACAGTGAGTGTTTACGAAATTGTTTCGGCAAATAAATACATATTATCACAGTTACGTTTTATTTCTTTTTGTCGAATATGCAGCTATGCTAGTGAAGTTAGCATACACCAAGGTCGGCACTTCCGTCATCGGAATTTTCGATGAGTTAGGAAACAAGAAAGTATGTGGAAATGGACTTTACACTACGTGTTTTTTTTTTATTGTTAACACGGCAAACGTGCTGACTGTTCACACGATGGGAAATAATCGGCGCCTACGAATACTTGCAACACGAAGGGTTTTTTTTAAGGGTAACCTTGTTTACGCTATCGGTATACATTTGCGGGGTACCAGTGAGGGATGATGGGTGAGGACGAAATCAGGCCCATCGTGACTAATTCAACAATAATTAACTACGTTGGTTTTAGGGGAACCGCGTGAAGATCGACGTGATTGCTAGCAATGGGGCTGTTAGACCCCATGAGACACGAACGGGGTCGCCAGACTGTTCTTTTAAATATTCCTAGGCATTTTTTTTAAGAGTACCCTATTGTAGTGCAAAAACAAAAGAAGGGGAGTCCACTTTACACTTCAAACTGCTAGGGAAAAATTAGCGTCATGCAAACAGTGTTGGTGTATCATTGACTAAAAAATAAGTTTGAATGATAGTCCTTACTAATATTATAAACTAATTTCTCGTGGCTTCTCTCGCATGAATTAGTCTTAGATTATATAGATAGTGTAACATCGAGTCTCAGAAACGGGCCAACTTTTTGTCAGCTAATTGTCAAATTAGCTGACAAAAAGTTGGCCCGTTTCTCTATTTTTTTTCGTTTATCTATTTTTTTTTGATGGGTGAAAATGGTATGGTAACCCCACTTGCGCTAACGAGATACGCTGGCGGAGCACTAGTGAAGGGTGATAGATGAGAATGAAAACAGGCCAGTTAGCCCATCATGATGAATTCATCAGGAATTAACCATGATAGTTTCCAGGGGGAACCGCGAGGAGGTCGACCTCGTTGGGTATATTGTTAGCAATGGGATTCTCAGTCTCCATTACTAACAATCCCTTTCCCCCCTCGTTTTTCTATTATTGTTCTATATATTTACACACATTATGTAGTTTGATGTATCAATATTTAATTATTTAATAAATAAAATGAGTTTATACGGATTAAAAAGATGAAGAAATTATAAAACAAAATAAATATAGAACTTATAACTGGTATCACTCTTTATCATGCAAAATTGTATGAAAATGTTGACTCGCTTTTCTCGAAGTATTTGTATGAAGACACTCTATTTATATAATCTAAGGAATTAGTATATACCCTATGTGTTATTTGTGATACATACATAGTACTTTTTATTACAGTCCATCTAGATATTCTACTTACCCGGACGAAGTCGCGGGTATAACGCTAGTATAATAATTAGTACATTACTGCAGCGGCCAGCAATTGAGGCATTGATGGACGAACGTGCAAATGTGGGTCGAGGCGTAGCCGAGGCACACATACGTGAGTCCATCAATGCCTAGTTGTGGCCAAGGCTTGTATAGTACTTTTCTCAAACAATGTGCGGAAATCAAAAATACAATTTTACTTTTGAAGTTCAATGACGAATAACGAATAATAGAAATTTTTCACGCGCCATAATGTTCCTTTTTTTTTTTCAATAAACAGCTTTCTATTTGCAAGCCAGTTCGAAATTTAAATAAAACTTTTTATTAGTTACCTCTGGTAGCCATGTTTCGATGTAAAAGGTCACTCCATTTTTAAATTAGAGGACAGATATGATTACATAGTAATTTATCTGGCCGCAAAACACGACAAATATGGATTTTCATACAACTTTTGCCGGCCGCTGCCCGCATGTATCTGGACAGTACGGCAATTTTGATTTATCTCTAAGAAGATTGTTAAAAATAATGCTCACATTTCCAAGCATGTTTGAGAAAAATATATTTACATTTCATTTGTAAATGGTTGTTATTCTTTTGTGGAAATGACATACGTTTAGAACAAAGACTATTGTTTGACTTTTATGACTTTTGACTTTTGATATATATTTTATTAATTTAGAAATATTTTTTTTTATACGATTTATTTTACGTACTGTTTGTATAAATGTCAAAAGGGATAATTTTTGTGAGCGTCTGTTCAGTTGCTATTTTGGTTTTGTTCGCTGTGTTCTGTTACTTAATCACCACAGTCAATCCTGATCCGATTGCTGGAGATGACGTCGGAAACGAGAGTCAAAGGAAGTTTGATTTTAAAGTAAGTACATAAATCTCAATGCATCTTTTACATATATATTTAGTTATTTATTTGATCAATTTGGTGAACTTTACAGTCTCGCAATACGCTCACCCAGGAAATTATTAGTACGTAATACCTCTGTTCCATTCGTGTTTCTATCCTGAAGCAGTTTTGTTTGCATGACTGTGTTTCGGTTTGCAGGGTGGGATATGGTAGTGAATTTACAAGGTACAGAGGAATAACAACTGAGTCCTCAGGAATGGCAACGCGGAGTATACTGTTTCGCCCATGATACTCGGGGTATCATGGGCGAAACAGTATACTCTGTTATGTCCATGGTGCTGCTCATGTCTATAGGCGACGCGACGGTTTCTTTAGTTATTAGATTAGTAGACTTTTCATTAGAAGGGCCGTCAGTTTGTTTGCCGTTCTAAATTGTATAATACAAAGATGATACTATAGGTATATAAAAGATACAAAATTAAAGTATTACTAGAAATATTAGTAATCTGAGAATATCATTGGAAAAATTACGTAAAACTCTGTAAACAGACAAACCCATAAACCCAATGACGCGACCATGACCGTTGTGTCCCGGCCGAAATGTCGAGATAACTCTAAGGAAATTATTATATTTAGTCACATGACAGAGTTATTTTACATTTCTTTAAAACCATAGATAAAAATAGCTTCAATCGTTATTGTTTTACTTCTTTTTTTCAGTCTAAAAATATTTATTTCAACGATGTATTATTTCCAACCGAAGAGGGGCAGAACAATTTACGTTATGGATTGGAAAAGGTAGATGTAAATGATATTACTACAAAAGCCACTTTCGCACCTAAAAAACTAATGGTAAATAACAAATATAATTATACCGGTATTAATGAAGTATATCCACCAATATGGGTACCAATAAAAATACAAAATAATACTGATTCCACTACAAAAGTCATAAACGCAAACGTATTAAAAATAAATACATCAGAAGCTTTACCAGTGAAAGGTAAAAGAAGATCAATAAGTAACATTAAACAATTTCCCGAAAACGAGCATAAAAGTGAAACTGTTGTATTGAAAATTGTAGATGACACCGGGATTCCCGGAATCGAAATAAAATTAGATCCAAAAGGATCATTCGAAAACAAAAGATCAAGGAAAAATATAAGTGCCGTCAGTAGATCGGTTCAAAAAACTTTGAACTATTCTGGAGTGCCAGTCGATAATCACGAATTGTTTAATTATAAAGATACCTTTATTATAATACTACCCAATAACACGATTCAAATAGATGAGAATGATCAATCACTAATTTCATTTAGTATTGCCACAGAAAAACCCAGTCATGTTGAAACAACCAACAGTGGAGATAATATTGCGGAAATACATCATAATACGAGTACTGTTTAAGTATCTACTGTCACAGATAATAAAAATGATATAAATGGCTCCCCAATGTAAATAATTGGCTTCATTAGAGAACAAGGAAATATTTACAATTAAAGTACTAATGAATTAATGATTCAAATCGTAATCGGTCTAAATATAGTAAATTACATATTCGGCACAGATAATTTAGTCTAGAATTTGAGAGCACATAAATATTGTAACACTTTGCATAAGTTGTTTACGTCTCTAAACAAACTAAGTTTTATATAACTGAGTAGGGGGGGGGGGAGGATATTAGTAATAGGGTCTTGTAAATTGTTGTTGTTAGCAAGGGGGGCCCCCTTTTGTTAGCAATATACTCAGTCAGGTCGGCTTCCTTAAATACCATATTTAGAAACATCGTGATTAATTCCAGGCGAATTTGTTAGGTTGTTTGTTAGTTTGCATAAAAAAAAAAAAAAAACTAATACACACATTTTAGGGGAAAGGGATTGTTAGCAATGGAGTTTGACAGCCCCATTGCTAGCAATATGCCTTATTAGGTCGTTCTTCACGTGGTTCCCCCTGGAAACCATTGTGAACAATTATTGTTGAATTCGTCACGATGGGCTAACTGACCTGCTTCATCCTCACCTATCATCCTTCTCTGGTGCCCCGCCGGTGTATACCGATAGCGCGGGTGGGGTTACCATTCCATTATCATCCACTAAAAAAATACACACATTTGCCATACGAATCCACAAGAGTTGGTAGGCTGTATCACTAGTGATTTTTTATACTAGGTGGAATTTGGAATTCATTCATAAAAATGTGAATACACTTGTACCCTTGCTACAATGTAGATTAATTTTATAACCTAGTTTTCCATACTAGATATAATATTATCAAACGACCTATAATGACTTTTTATAGATCATACAATTATCAATAATTGATATACACATTGAGTTAAATTTTAATGCTTCTTTTTTCTTATCTAACACAATTTAATACGCTCTAGGCTCAATGCTCCGCCAAAAAAAAAAAATTTCGATCATGAATTAACCATATGGACAGCTTATAAAGTACATCTATATAATTTTTTTTTTATGCAACTTAGAATGGCAAGCCCACCTGATGAAAAGTGGTAACCGTCGCCTATATACATGAGCAGTACCATGGACATAACAAAGTATACTATTTCGTCTACGGTACCCCCATGCGTTGCCATTGCTGAGGGCTCAGGTGTTATTCCTCTGTACGCTGTAATTTCACTGCCATATCCCACCGTTCAAACCGAAACACAGCCATGCAAACACAAGTGCTTCACGGTAGAAACACGAATGGGACAGAGGTGCCCAAGCAAACGACTTTTGTACAAAGTCTCCCTCTGGTAAATTTTGTATTTCATCAATTGATTTTGATGACTGTTACTCGAAAGGTTCTGAGTTTAGTTCGATTTAAATTTAAACCATCTTTATTTAAATAGACTTGTTTACAAGTACTTTGAAATCGTCATATTTTATGACTCTACTATTGAGTTTGGGATGTTGTTATCTACTGAGAGGAACCCACAATAAACTCGACACTTACTCTTTTAAATTTGATAACATTATGTGTACTTATTTAAATGTACTGTATTTAAAACTAGTCCGTCCCGGTTTTGTACAGGTGGACATTTTTACATTTTAAAAAGTGGCCATTAAGGCTGCACACGCGACGGAAGCTTAAAAATGGGGTAACTTCTCCCGTTTTCCTAACATTTCCCTTCACTGCTCTGCTCCTATTGATCGTAGCGTGATGAAAAGTATACTATAACCTGCCCAGGAGTATGAAGAATAATTGTACCAAGTTTCGTTAAAATCCGTCGGATAGTTTTTGTTTCTATAACGAACATACAGACAGACAGACAAAAATTTTACTGATTGCATTTTAGGCATCAGTATCGATCACTAATCACCGCCTGATAGTTATTTTGGAAATATATTTCATGTACAGAATTGAGCTCTCTACAGATTTATTATAAGTATAGATTACACGGTCGTCAAAAAGTTCCATATTAATTTAGTCAAGGCGAGATGATGTTGGAATAAAACTCGATTTACTTATATATTGTTGGGTAATTGATTCCTTTAAAAGTTCCACTAAACAGGTGATAAGTATTTATAAATAATTATATAGCGTCGTAGTCTAATAAAATGCCTTGTCTCCTTGTAGTTTACACGTGTACAAATTGCTAAATCGACGCCTTATCAATCAGTGAATGTATACCAAAGCTACTGCTTTGGTAATACTGGTGGAAAACACTTTTAACAAGGTTGTTTAGATCGAAATAGTGTTTAAATTTGCACTTAATTTTTAACCCACATAACACCTACCCTCACCTACTTAACAGCTTCCAAAAACGAGAGTTTTATTCAAACTGCATTTTTTGTTTGCACAGGTATGTAACGCAAGTATTGATCAGTTGTGAACTCATTTTTATTATTGTTTGTTTAATCGAATGGTTTCACTTTTTACACCCATGTTAAAATTTTTAAAATTTGTATAAATTGTTTTAACACTGAACCGATTTTTATTATTCTTTTTTGAAGTCAATACAATTTATTGCAATGTTGTTTTTTATTGAGTGATGTCTTAAATTATATATAGATAGATATATAATTTAATTGTATTACTTTTTTTTTTAAATACTTTATATATATATGCCCGGATATTGATTTCCAGGATTTTGACATTTATTTCATACATTCATTTCCTTACAGGTACCTTTCAAATTAAGGTAGGATTTCAGGATTTTTGGGTATTATTTATTTACTGTTATTTTGTTGATATTCTGACTTATTACATTTTACTTATTTCTATTTCCTTATTTCTAGTCGATTACATTAACATTTATATTGACTGAGTATGCTCAGTATACTTATTTAATATAACTTATTCACTAACATAATTTCTATTTACTATTTTTGATATTTTTATACCGTATTCTAGGAATAGCTTACGCTTCTTATTTATTAGCCATTATTCCTATATATTCTTCCTCGCCTTTCTCGTCATTACTTACAGCACGCAAATAACAACTGATATAGATGCATACGCAAAAAATAAATAAAAGAATACATATACAAAAAAAAAAAGGAAAAATAATTTTTCATTTCATGCATATGCCACAGTAACACAAAATGGTCACAACTCAGTATATTGCTTTGCCTTCAAAAGAGCAAATCACTGATATTTCGTTGTGTCATATATATATATATATATATATATATATATATATATATATATATATATATATATATATATATATATATATATATATATATATATATATATATAGCCTATCATGATGAATTCATTAGAAATTAACCATGATAGTTTCCAGGGAGAACCGCGAGGAGGTCGACCTGGTTGGGTATATTGCTAACAATGGGATTCTTAGTCTCCATTACTAACAATCCCTTTCCCCCCTGTCATATATGTATATTAAGGCACATATATGTATTTATAAAACAGATTGGCAGTCTCAGTATTCTATTGAGGCTGATATGAAGCTATAAAAGCAAACATATAGTTAAGACATTTGAAATCTCTATAATTTATACATGTACGACTTAATCTGTTAGAACAAATAGTACGTACAAATCAAATTCGATATTGTTACCTTGACTATACTAATTACAAAATGCATTCCGTATAAAAAAAAAAACCTATAATACATACAGACAAAAGAGTTAAATGTGATATACCGCATGATTTGCATAATCAGGATACCAGAAAGCATTAGGAGGTCGCAGCGAACGCTCTAAAATGGCTTGGGTACTTCGGCCGAGAGAGCGGCGGCGTTCCCACGTGCGCGCTGGACTGCCTTGAACGACCTTGTCGGTCGCTTGATTTTGCTCGCCCGCTAGGTGCAATACGTTCACTTCGTACATGAGCACTGTTTCAGAACTAGGTTATTGAATGTGAACGTTTTATTGTTTGTAAGATTGTATATAATAATACTAAGCGTAATATGTACAAATATAATGGTATTGCTAAAATGATGTACTCGTTTTGCAATAATTTTTAACAAATTTGTATTTTTTATGCAACTTATAATGGCAAACAAGCTGATGGAAAATGGTTACCGTTGACTATAGACATGAGCAATACCATGGACATAACAGAGTATACTGTTTCGCTCATGATACCTCCCATGTGTTTGCATTCCTGAGGACTCAGTTGTTATTCCTCTGTAGTCTGTAAATTCACTGCCATAGCCTTTCGAACCGAAACACAGCCATGCAAACACAAGTACTAAATAATTGGATTAAAATGAAAGTAAATATTGTTAATTTATCAAAACAACTTCAGAATATACATGTATATAATATCCTAAAAAATATTATTAAAACTAGAAAAATAGTACTTAGTTTGGACTTAAAGAATGCAAATGGTGTATGTTTGAAACGTCATCTACGTATAGTCAATAAGCGAATACAAAATTACAAAATTGTCAATACAATGCTTATTATCAACTTTCCATGTTAAATCCATATTTAACAAGTGTGAATGTGGTTACAGTGGCTGAGATTGCAGTCCAAAATGACTTGAGCATCGTCATAGACGTAGTTGCTAACGAGTATGATATGCTCGAGTCGAGCGAGCGAGAGCCATGGGAAAAGACGCAGGGCGCCGTCATAGGAAATTATTATGTTATTATAAATATTAGTTTATATATATCTATACATACATTTACTACGTGCCCAAGTTAATAACCGTCAAGTTTAATTATAAAATGTGGAAATTAAACGGCGAAGTAAATATTTTGTTGACAAAATTACGTGGAGGTAAAACGTGATTAATTATTTTTTTTATTAAATTCTACCTTGTGAAATTGTATGTTTATTTTATAAATTGGCATCTGAGGTTTGAAGGCGTCTTATCAGACACTCAAAGCACGTTGTATGTGATTAACCACTGCACCATGGAGGTCGTCAATACGATGAGAGACGATTAATTAGCGGGAAGTTAATTAATCTGTCGGTATCTATTGTATTGTGAAATTATGTAATGTTACTAATTCACAAATGTTGTATGAATTTTATAGTAAAGTAAATTTATTATGATCGTAGAGGTAGTAAGTTATTAGTAGTCTTTATTATAATTTATCCGCCTGTCTCGGCTTTTGATTTTCACGGGTATACTAATAAAGAAATTGGATCAAAGTTGTACAAAAGTCGATTGCTTGGGTACCTCTGTCCCATTCGTGTTTCAACCGTGAAGCAGTTGTGTTTGCATGGCTGTGTTTCAGTTTGAAGGGTGGGATATGGCGTGAATTTACAGGGTACAGAGGAATAACACCTGAGTCCTCAGGAATGGCAATGCATGGGGGGTATCATGGGCGAAACAGTATACTCTGTTATGTCCATGGTAC